AAAAAAAAAAAGGTACTTTTGTAGGTAAGCACAGTCCATGGCCTTTATCTCTTAACATCATGGGTACTCTTTTTGAGGCTAAATGAAGCCCCACTCTCTCTGAGTGGAGAAAATTAAATTAGAACGCTGAAACTGCAATGGAATCATGATGATTCTGCTTGAGTGTGTTGACCTTTACCAACCATTTCATTAGAATTTCTGGAGCACGACGCTGGGCTAGGCGTTCCCTGTGACTGTCCATCTGAAGAAAAAGCCTTCTCTCCTGGCTCCAGCCCAGACCATCATTCCCAGCATCCCAAGATGGATAGCAGTATCAAATTGGAAGAATTCCGTAATCTAGTTAGCGCAGAGTTGTAGTAGACAGCGAACTCAGCAGTCAGGTGGCAAAAATCTCCAGAGAACGCTGTTTTTCTTCCTGGGACTGACTGAGAAAACAATTCCATGTCTCCATCTTCCTCCAATGGAGGCTTGGATTTCAGTCCTACATATCAGACAAATTGCCGTTGGAGGCTCTTTTGTCAGCTAGATAATCAGAAAAGAATGGTTAGGCACACACAGACGAAAGCCACGCTCCTCCGAAAAGCAAAATGCTTTCAAAACCAGATGAGCAGGATTTGAAAGACGGGACAACGTGTTACTAATTAAGAAAAAATATTTTTATTCGCAAGAAATGGAAATACAAAAGCGTAACAATTTTTCAGTTCATTTTTCCCCCCTCAAACTAAGTATAAGTATCCTACAAAGCTTTTTTTTATTCTTGGTATTTACTTAGCTATGATAAAGACTAAAAAGCCATTAAAAAAAAAACAACAACAAAACAGCACAATAAGACAGATAATAGACCCACAATCTGTTTAGACTTAAACACTGCTGGTCTACAGAACTATTACAAGAGAGAGTAGAAAGTTCAGCCTGTCAGCATGGCCATTAAAGCTCATGGGAGAGGACAGTCTAGGGTCTGCTTAGCATTGTTTCAATAGGGTCCCTCGCGATTCGTCAAGGTGTGCTGGTGTTTTCCATAGACTCATAAAGCATTTTCTCTGCCAGGGCGAGGCTCTAAGCAGGGCAGGCCGTTGGTCCGTGGTGCAAAAAGTTTATGTTCTCACTTAGCTGGTGAGCAAAGGACAGGAGCAGAGGAATGGAGCGAAAATCCCTGGTTTTTCTTTCCCAGGATGCAAAGCGTGCCAGCTGGAATTCACAGACAACCAGATGAACAAGACAGGACATGAGTGTCGGGTGGGTACCTCCAGCAGGAAGCAAAGAACTGAATGCTACACGGTGGCCCCAGCACAGGGACCGGACAACCTTACAGGTTCCCAGAAAGGAATCCGCCCAACCAAATCCACAAACTGTACTTTCCACATCTCTTAGTGGTCTACCTGTCTCCTGGTAAAGAGTTGCCCTGTTTTCTCTATAAAATGGAAAACCTCGATGTATTAAGCACTGTACCCAGTACTTAAAAGGTGCTCAAGAAATAGTATTTCTCTTCCTTCTGCAAACCAAGACAAAAATAAAGCATTCCTGAATTACGATGCCCAAAGTGAAAACTTGAAACAACACCTAGATTTTTCCTGTGCTAAGCGTGGGCTCTTTGGCCACAGAGAGGCGGAACATTAATCCTCAAATGGGCCAGGTTCCTTGGCCCTGAGAAAATGTTCTGCTGTGAGGATTGATGATAACTTTAATCCAGGCTGGCTGGTTTTTGATGTGACTGCAGCTCTACAAAATGGGATTTTCCTAATGGACAAAACTGCGTCTCTTTTCTCCTGATGTGCAAATCTGATCGTCGTTCATTTTTAGGAAACCACTTTTGAGCCTCTGGAAAAAGGCTCTTTCCTCACACTCGCTTCAGCCTAATACCACGAGCCTATCCGTAACATCTCCCAGGGACCAAGGGGTCTTCAGTCATCCCGGCGGATGTATATAAGGCACATTTAAGGCAGATGAGTGCTGGAGACAAGGGGGACATTTGTGCATGTGTCAGAAAGGAGACAGAGAGAGGCCTAGCACTTTTGTCTTTTGAATAGCTATTGATTAATGAAACCTCCTCAGACCCCTGACTCCCCAACAAACCCTAGGGCTCCATGCAGAACTCTGCCTCTGTAAAACTGAAAAGCCTGAGGACTGACTGATGGACTGGGAAACCTGAAATCCATCTCTGGCTCCTGCACAGCCTCCCACTGGCTTCTATAACTGGCCTCCCAGAGGGGCTCACACTATCACATGTCCCCTAATTGTCTCAACATTCCATTGAAATGGCTCTCACTAGAGCGCTACCTGCTAATGGTTTCACAGGTCCTGTCAGCACTTCAAACAGGAGAGCCGGGGTCTTTAATAAAGGTTTTGCAAAGGTTATATTCGACGGAACCCAAGTTGTGACTCATGCAGACCAGGGGAGGCCAAAAGCCTCCTCCTTCATCTCCAGTCTCCCCCACGTGAGCAAGACCAGCACAGAAGGTCCAGTTCCTCTGCCTAGAGTGGGATGTCTCCATTTGGTGAGTCAGGCTCAAGGATGTGCCCCATAGGATGAGTGCTCGAGAGCTGGCCCCAAGATGCCTCGGATGCTCGCTTTGTGGTTTTGCTTGGTCTGAGGCCGTGCAAGAAAGAGGCCATGAAATGTTGAAAAATTTTAATGACACACATGTGACCAAAATTCTGGACAGGGTCTCACTGCTGTCATGAAGCTGAATCACTTCAACACTCCCCCCTTCTATGGGCATGTGACATTCACCGCCTTCTTTTGGCATTCAGGCTAAACGGAGAGATTGAGAGGAAGGAAAAAACATGGGAATGATAGTTGGTTTGTAAATAAGTTGAGCTAAAAGCTGCTCTCACAACCCACAGATTAGTTCTCCAAATCAAAATCATTTTTATTAATGAAAAGGTGATCTCATTTTGCCTAAGCTGATGTCAAATCTCTCCTTACCCCACCAAAAGAAGCAACCTAGTTCAGCGGTCAGATTTTTACATAACACTCTCTTTATGTGACCAAGGCTCCAGAGTCCAAACACTTCACAGGAAATCTTTCTTAAATGGGCACCGAGGCCTTTCATCTCCAGTATCCTTTTCTAAGCACAGAGTTAAGAGCTGTGGAAAGGGCCAAGCTAGGGGGTCACTCGGGGTCACTCGGGGCTCAGCCAGTGAGAAAGCGCTTGTTCTCGGAATGTTTGCAAAACATCTCCTACACCAGGGTAATCAAGGAGAAGGAAGAGGAAACGCGGTTTACCTGATGAAAAACAGAATTAATGTACTTATGAGTAGCCTATTTATTATTTATGGTTTATGGGGACGCTAACAGTCTCACAGTTTTCAAAACTCAAGTTCAGAAGCCAACGTCTGCCTCTCTTTGAAATCTTCAGGGTTAACCAGGCATTACCGACAGGGGTATGGGACTGCTCTCCGGGGGGAGCAAAACCATGGATACTGGGGCTTAACCCCAGAACAGCAAAGGAGCACACATCCCTTCATCATTTGGCATTATCCGACTCTTTTGTGTCTTCTCGACCCCCTGGCATCCTCCTAAAGGGATAAGTGTTTCGTTCCCTTGACATGTCCAAGTAGAGAGTGGAGGGCAAAGGCTGTGCTCAAAACAGCGGCAAGGTTAGTTCTTGGAACCCCCTTTCACGTGGCCATTGGAGCTCCCAGGCCGATGTCTCCTGTTTCCAGATACAGCTTCAGTTCTGGAAAAACAGCTTCCCAGAGAAAACAGCCTGCTGTTTGGAGGTCTGGAGAGGGGGATGACAAGCAAGGGTAGCTAGGGAGAAAATAAAATCCTCAAGGTACTAAGAGGAGGTACCAGACATTTGCTGGCCTGTCCCTTTTCCTGCCTCACTCAGGAGAGCGGGTTTCCCACCCTGGCTAATCCAGAAGGCTTCAAAACCTGATCTGGTTCCACTGCAACAGGTCACTCGGCTGACCTATGCTCACTTCTGCCCCAAATATAAGACCTTTCCTTTCTCGTTGACCGAATACTACTTGAGTTCCTTCTTTTTACCTTTTTAGGCCTCCAGGGGTGCCCTTGCCTGATAATTACAAGGCATCTTAAAGAGAGGGATGGGTCAGCAGTGGCCTGTGACTACCTGATGCCAGCCAGGCCCAGGAAGATCTAGAGCCGGAAGGGAAGGAGGGAATGGAGAGCAGAGAAGCAAGGGGACGGGGCACATTAGTAAGCCCTCTTCTTCCATAGCTCACACAGCCTCTGCTCTCCCTCCCCAATGCAGGGGACCCTAAGACTGTGGACAGCAGCCCCAATCCAGCTTGACACATGGCTGAGAAGACACCCTTGACATCTCCTGGTCCGGAACTTTCCACCACAGCAGGGGGGGGGGGAATCACTCACCGCAGAGAGAGAGAGGGAGGGGGGGGGGGGGGGAATCACTCACAGGGAGCCCCAGATGTACGTAGACAGACAAAGCCGGGATCTGCTTATGAGGTACGATGGAAAAATGCTAATGATGCCGAATCCTGCATCCAATATGGAGTGGAAGGGCCCAGGCACGGGCTTAATCCCTTGTAAGTGCAGGCGTCAGTGCCAGTGTAGACCACAAAGAGAGAGACAGACAGACAGACAGAGAGGGGTTAAAGCTAAAGGTCCTTCAGCTACTACTAAAGATAAAATACGAAACGCAAGCAGATTTCTTAAACAAAATCGCTCCCAAGCCAGGGAAAAACACTTAAAGGGGATCTTCTACATTATACAATAAAAAGGCAATTTCCATTTCTTATTTGTATGAAAGAGGAAAGAATTTTTTAAACTACAAAAGTTACTTTTAATCATTAAACATCAGACAAAAAAAAAAAAGTAGGTCGGGGGGTTTAGGTTGTATCTCTTTGGGTAAGCTGCAAAGTAGCCAAACCTGACTATAAAAGGTAAGACTATGGATACAAAAATGTCACCTACTCCGACCCCAGGCCTCAGGCCCACCCCCTGTGTTGAGGCAGAAGAGGAGGGTAAAGCAGAAGTGGGTGGTGGGGGTTGGGCGGGGGGGGGGCGGCGCTAGGAACAGGCGTGGAGAGGCAGGCCAGCAAGGTTGTCTGAAACGCCTGTTGTCAGGGACAAGGACTCCCTTCTCTTATGGGAACAGGACAGTAAAAGCCTCTGACCAGAGAGCCACAGACCTGATTAAGGCATTACTCCATCTTTCCCTCCAACTTCATTCTGCAGGAGGACACAAGCTTAAGGGGATTTCCCGATTATAATTAGAGGCCTCCAGTGGAAGAAGGAGGAAGAGGAAGAAGAAGCAGAAGAACACGGGGAAAAAAGCAAAAAACAAAAAACGCCATCTGGAGGACTGGGAAATCCCAGAGCTCGGGTGCCCTCCTAGCCAGCTCCAAAGGCCAGTTTGGAGGGAGACAGTGGATCTTTTCAGTGTGATTGCTAGCAGGGAAGCCTCAGCGAGCTAATAAATACTATTTACAAATGGGGAGGAGAAGCCGGGGAGGCAGGCCTAGAGGTATGCGGGGACGCCAGTTGTGGGGATGTCCTACAAGCAACAAGGCAGGTTCGCCTGGAGTAGAAAAGCCTGATTCTTTCAGGCATTGCACTTGCGGCCTGAGAATGGGGACGGGAGAGCCCTCGCTCCAGTGCGGGAGGACGATCTGCGAGGGCTCTGATGGGGCAGAGTGGCTGGGGTGCTCACTGACGGCGCTGGAACTTCCGGGGTTGTCGGGGTGCAGACACACCAGAGACCAAGGCTGAGGAAGGCAGGACGTCAGTCAGAGCTTTGCCAGATCCCAACGGGCATCCTGGAATTTTCAAGGCTAGAGTCTGGGGTCTCACGTGAACAAGAGTCATCTCTTCTCCAAAGAGATGGTCACAGCCCATAGTGAAAAGCGGGCAGTATCTTTTTGGCACTATTGGTAGAAACGGGCCTGCTTGTTCCAGCCCCAACCCTAAAACAATTTCCTATGGCAGTAAATAGGAGGGAGGGAGGGATGCCGGGCTCCCTCCTTCGGGGGGGCATGGCATGGAGGGAAGGTGGTCTCTCACCACAGGTGGAAATCCCAGGCTGTCCTCCCATCCAAAGCCATGATCGCTCGCCCATGTCTTCGTCCAGATCAAAGGCAAAAAAGGAAAAGCTTATGACAAAGGTGGTTTGGGGACAGGAAAGCAGAGTGAAGAGAAAGCGGGAGGTGGACAGCCTCTTTAGAAAGTGGCGTTCACTCTTCTGTCGAGTTCTACAACTTTTAGTGTCTCGTTCCCCTCCAGTTTGGCGTTGACCCTGGAAAGATACCAAAAGGGAATAGTCTTAGCTGACTGACAACTACAATTCTTGTGCTTCGGAGTATGACATAATCATCCCATGACTGCAACTTCGTCAACTTTGAGGGCAGGCCCAAGCGGGTTCTCATTCTTTGCCCACCTACTAGAAATCCGCTGTTCCCAAAGTCTCCAGCTGCCAGCCCATCGGCTCGTTCACATTCCTTCCTTTATCCCTGCCCAAGAGGAGACATCCCAACCCAGAGAATAAGCATGGTTTGATGCTGATTTGTTATAAATTGCTTTAAGCAAATGTATCATCAGAGGATGCATAACCCTATGCTACACTCTGGAAAGAAGAGAATAAAAGGAAAAAGTCTGATCCCTGGTTTAGAATACTAATCATTCAGATAAATTAAAAAAAATTAAGTTGAAATAACACTAAACATATAATAGAAAATAAACATGTTATTAAATTATATAACAGTCTAGAAAGTCTCTAGGCTCTCAGAGGAGGGCGGAGGGCTTTGGTGTCAGGGAGACATCCTAGAACAAGTGAGAGTTTCAATGGGGCCCTGAATAGTGGAGCCAAGAGGGGAGAGGACTTGGGGCAGAGCCACGTAACCAAGCAGTGGAGTGTCCCATAGCTCCCAGTGGCACCTCTACAAGTTTCTCTATAATGGAAATCATAACACCTAGCCTCTTAAAGTATTCAAAGGATTTATAGATCACATTTGCATAGTACTTACGGGAGTAGGTGCAGTAAACATTCAATATGCATGTATCATGTAAATATATACAAGTACATGTAATTATGAACCTTTCCCACAGCTTTAGGGGGAAAAAGCTGCAGAATTTGCAGTTGAATCTTCAAGTGGGAGCCCTTGCATTGGAAGAGCATCATTTCTGGGAAGCACAGGGGTTAGTTCAGCTAGATCACCAACCACACCACGCATAACCAGGAGTGCACACGCAGACCCTCCTTCTTGTGCTGTCTGGCATTTTCAGGAACCTCCCGCAGCACAATAACACTATCTGACCATTCTTTATGCCTTTACGTTTCCCAAAAGACTTTCCCCCCTAATGTCCTAAAAGAAACAAAATACGGAGAATTGGAGCCCAGTGTTATTTTCCATATGGAAACCCATCTGGGCAAAGTGCCTTTCAAATGATGTCCCTCAATATAAATCTATAATTAAAATTAATACACATTTATTTGTATATAAATCATAAAACTCTATGCTGACATCTAGCACACATCTCTAGTGGGGGGATACACACATCTCTAGTGGGGGGAAGGAAGGGAATGGGTCCTGAGACTGCGTCCGTTTGGTAAGCGCGCTGCTTCGGCTAGGCTGTATTTTTTCTGTATGAGGTTCTGAGGGAAGGAAGGAGGGAGTCAAGCCACCATGGCCAGCTCCCCAGTGACAAAGCAGACACAGAGGCAGCTCATCCTAGGTCCTCCACCACCACGCTCCCCCGACAACCCCATCTCTGCTAAGGAGAGCTGTTGGCAAGTAGTAGCCACTCCAGAGTCCCAGGTACCGGAGAGATGTCCTGAAAGAGCAGAAGACCTGGATTGGGCCCATGGGAAAGTCGACGCCCCACATTCCAGGTTGCTGACCCACAACCCATCACGCGCGCCTCAGGGGAGCCGGATCTACGTGTACTTGACTCACAAGTGTTGCTGTAGCTCCAACAGCATGGATTTCTCCAGGCTGGTCTCATTGGAGATAATGAAATGGGGAAGATCCACATCAGGCCTGGCCTCCAGGCCTGATGCCCTGAGTAGAGAGGATCCTCGGTCCCAGTGCCCAAGCTCCCCAGCCGAGGCTGGGCTGGACGGCTCTTCCAGCGGGGAATGTTCTTCGTAGATCAGCAGATTCCTGGATCTCACTGAGGACAGAGCAAAGGAACAGGTGTTAGGGAAAGACCACAGGGTTTATCCTATCCCCTCACTCAAATGCCCAGGGCCAGAAACAGATGACAACTTGTGGGTTCTTTTGCCCAGAACGGAGGGTGCCCACTGGCACTGGCTTTCCATAAAGGCTTCAGGGTTTCAGAGTTTTGTGCAGTGAAACATTATACCAATTATCCAGTGCTGGAAGAACAACAGAAAAGCAAATAGACATGAAGCAAACCGCCATCCCCACTCCCCTCCTTGCCCACCCATAACCATCTGAGGGAAACAAGTCATGAAGAATGGGAGCCAAATACTTGGAGATGTCCAGACCAGCTAAAATAAGAAACATTTCCAATGAGCTGATCTTGCATGGAGAGAAGGCACAAGGGCAGAAAACTGCATTTTCATCTGGAAACCAGAGAGAAGCCCCAAAGCCGAAGCCATAAATCAAACGACAGAGACAGTTTCTTTGTTTTACAGGATAGTTGCAGAGCTGGATGGCTCTGTAGCAATTTTCTACAACATAGAAACTCTTTTCTCATTGGCTTCCATTAAAATTTACAGATACATTCCCTTAGGGGGGAGAAAAAAAGAATTTCCCAAGAGATCACTGAAATTATGTGGTTGAAATGCTAGCATTTCTGTCATAAACCTGGCAGAGATATAACCACCCGGTGAAGATCAGAGATGTTTCAGAACAGCAAGACTGTGCCTGCTGCCAATCTAGCACCCAATTCCACACTTGTTCTTATTAGTGTGTGCGGGTATCTGTGTATATGTTGTAATCCCCACAGGCCACTTCATTATTTCCTACATACTTAAAAGGGATCACTGAGCTAGGTGAGGTTATCACACTTATAACACCTGAGTCTCTAAATTCTCTAAATCTTGGTCATAATGTGTTGTAAGACAGACCGATTCATTTCACATACTCTTACTATGGCAACATACAATTCCAATGAGTAGAAGTAGAAACACAGGGAAGTCCTTTAAAATGTCAGGGAAAGCTTAATGTCCCCCCTCCACCTACTACTCCCCCCCGCCAAATCTACATCCCTCCTCCTTACCAGAGCTCAAAAAGGAGACCTCAGAATTTGCCTAGAGCAAGAATTTGCAAACTGTACTCTGCCATACTCTGCTCTAGAGAATTCCCAGTGGAGCCTCAGGCCGGGGGAGGAGGGGCACAAGAAGGGAGCCAGATGCCTGGGCACCAGACCCGCCGTGTCCCTCTTCCATCCCTTCAAGAGAGAAGCTATGCTTCTACCAGTTTTTAAAGATAAGACTTTCTCATAAGACTTCTCTCAGAAGGTTGAGCTTTCAGAAAGCTCCAGACAAATGAAACAAGACACTTTATAAGTTGCCTAGTGCCATCTTACCGACAGAGGCTGTATACGGCTCCTGCAGAGAATGCTGGCTGGGCAGAGCCATCTTGGTGGCAGAAGGATAGGGCCCGTAGCCCTGAAGGAAGCTGCCAAATGCGACAGCAAAGCATAGCACAACCACCTGCAGGGGGAAGAGAGAGCACGGGGAGCTGTCAGTAACCGATCCCAGAGCAAACCTCAAGCCTGGCAACAGCTGGGGAAGTGTAAGGACTCAGACTCCCCTTTCCCAGGCCGGATTGGGCCAACAGGTCAACACCGGGAATATCAGAGAGAGCCACACAGCTCCTCCAACCCCACGTGGATGTGGATGTGGCAAGTTGGGGACAGATGGTGACTGGGGCGGGGGGCGGGCAGGGCACTTGCGGCACTGTCCCTTTGGGAAACTCACCATGAGGCACGTGCCTGTCTGTGTGCCCGCCAACTTGCAGGTGCGGGAAACCTTGCCCATCACCAAAGTCTGAAGTTTTTGGAGTTGCTGCAGGAGAGTTCTGCAAACACAGCAAACCAAAGCATGAAGAGTCTAAGACAGAGGAGAGTGTTTTCCGGTGACCTCTGTCCCCAGGCTCCGGGGAAGCTGCCAGAGCTTTGCATCTGAATTTGAATGCAGTGCCTAGGGAAAGTCTCATTTGGAGGGAGACACAGACACCAGTGTCTTTGAGCACCCGTGCGGCAGGACTCCCCAGAGTTTGGAACGAGCCCCTCACTTTGGCAGCCTGTCCAGTTCTTGTGCTGTTTTGTGTAAGAGCTGAATGTCCCAAGTTATACCCTACAATGCTGGGACTTGTCTATCAGCCCCTGAGACAAAACAAAAAAACAAAAAGAACAATTCGATGGGTGGGTGATGGTGGTACAAGTGGATCTCATTTACCTACGAGAAGGGAAACGCTGAAGAGGACATAAGAAAGGAGAAACACAGAGACCTGAAGGAGTGGCCAGAGGTTGTGGCTGTCACTGGAAATGGCGGCAGGATCCGTCAGCCATGGTCACTCAGATGGCAAACTTGAGGAGGAAGAGAGGAAAACCAGGAATGACAGGGAGGCAAACACCCTGGGGCACCTCACACCTATGATCCTTGCAGGCTCACGGCATCTCTATGGTCAGAAAAAAAGCCAAACTACGACAGAGCAAAGAAGTCTGCCCAACCGGACGCATGCTCAGAGCCAGGGCTCTTGGGAACCATCCCCACCATACAGACTCTGCTCCTTCTCCAGGAAGAAACAGGGAGCAGAAGCAAAAAAGAGTTGTTCTCTCCCTAAAATTGGACAACTGTGCATACCCTTAAAAGGGAAGGTTTGGGATGAGAATCCTATATTCTGGTCTGTGTGACATCAGGTCACAGAGAGAGCAGATGGTGACATTCTTTGCAAATTCTGAACACTGCAAGCCACAGAAAAGGATCTCACAACACAGCCTCCTGAATCAGAGCCTCTGGGATAAACCCGTGTGAGCAGCCGAGAGCTGAAGCTCCTCTTTGCTTCACTCCTTCCCCAAGCCCCGTGCACATGGCAAAGTGGAACCATTTTATAAGCAGATGCTTTTTCTTGAGTCTCAGAAATTTTCAACAAATTCATGCTGTGATGTCACATCAGAAAGCCAGACAAGCTCATTTGGAAACATGAGCAAATCACTCGTTTGCAGAATTCTGGGCTCTCCCGGGGAACCTGCCTCTAGACACAATCTACCTCCTGAAGAGCCTTCAAGTACTGGAAGGACAGGCTAGTCTTCTCAGAGTTTGCAACCTCCACCCTGACAAGCGCCAATGACATGAGTTTCTCCCAGGGTTAAGCCAATCAGGGACAGGGTGGCCATAGGATGACACTGCTGTCAAAAGCTAGCTGGCTAAGATCTGGGGCAGAACTGGGGCAGTGCACAGCGCACACACACACACACAAAAACCCCAAAAACCAAAACAACAACAACAACAGCAAAAAAACAATGCTGTGTGGTCCTGATGAATTTAATTTAAGCAAAACAAAATCATTCATCCATGAATCAGTACCATTAATTTAAATTTTATTAACATGGACGTCTTTTTAGTACCTTGTGGTACATTTTGTTGTTGTTGTTCATTGTTACCTAGAAGTATAATCAAACCATTCGGACTTGGTTTCTGTATATTCAGGCAACATTTTCTTTAAAAGTGTTCTGTTCCTCAAAAAGTTGAAAACAGAGCTATCCTACGACCCAGCAATTGCACTACTGGGTATTTACCCTAAAGATACAAACATAGTGGGCACCTGGGTGGCTTAGTGGGTTAAGCCGCTGCCTTCGGCTCAGGTCATGATCTCAGGGTCCTGGGATCAAGTCCCGCATCGGGCTCTCTGCTCTGCAGGGAGCCTGCTTCCCTTCCTCTCTCTCTGCCTGCCTCTCTGCCTACTTGTGATCTCTCTCTGTCAAATAAATAAATAAAATCTTTAAAAACAAACAAACAAACAAACAAACAAACAAACATAGTGATCCAAAGGGGCACATGCACAGGAATGTTTATAGCAGCAATGTCCACAATAGCCAAACTATGGAAAGAACCTAGATGTCCTTCAACAGATGAATGGATAAAGAAGATGTATACATATACAATGGAATACTATGCAGCCATGAAAAGAAATGAAATCTTGTCATTTGCAACGACAATGATGGAACTAGAGGGTATTATGCTGAGCAAAATAAGTCAATCAGAG